GTACTGATGAATGTGGTCTTATTTGGAAATAGGGTATTTGCAGATGTACTTAGTCAAGATGTGGTCATACCAGATTAGGGTGGGCCCTAAGAACAACAGCTGGTATCCTTATAAGAAAGCCATGTTAAACATGAGACAGAAGAAGGCCATATGCAGACCAAGGTGGAGATTAGAGTCACGTATCTACAGGCCAAGCATTACCAAGGCTGGCCAGCAACCACCAGAAGCTAGAAGAGGGGCATGAAACTGCTTCTCCCTGAGAGCCCACAAAAGGAACCAGCCCTGCTGAAACCTTGATTTCAGACTTCCGGCCTCCAGAACTGTGAGAGCATAAATTTCTATGAGACAGGTTAGACACAGATAAAGTCAAGCATTACATGCTGAACACAGATGGAAATGGATGGAAGGCCCAAGAGGCACCAATATTCATGAACCTCTAAATATATATGAGGCACATTAGACAATCAGTACTCATGGGGTCAATGGTGGGTCGTTGATGACACTCATTCCGGCTCCATATATCCCCTGTCCAAAATATGCAAACAAAAACCTGGGCTGCTCAGCAGGTCACTGGTGAGTTCTGGCTGGGGCCAGGTGTAATTGTCCTGCATCTGCCTGAGATAATGAGTCTGGCTTGGCCCCAGGTGTCTCCTTCTGTCGGTCCCTTTTCCTCAAACCTCGCCTCTGGTCAGCAGGAAAAGGTACAATGCACAGAAGGAGAGGGTGAGGGTGGAGAGGGGGAGAAGCAGGGAGGGAGAGAGAGAAAATCTTCGAATATTGTGTAACCGGGATTCAGGCGGTGTGGTCCATCCTTCCTGCACTTTATCCTAAGGCTGTAAACCAACTCATCTCTTTTCCCTTGTTTCTCACTGTTTGTTTTAATTTGATTCCATAAACCATGTGATTTTAGCATTGTAATCTGGTTGTGAGCCTTTCTGTTCCATGACTTCTGGGATAGCTTGCCTGGTAGTATATATGGAGACAACAAGGTGATTTCCCATCCACACCAGGGGGAGCAGTTTACCTGGTGGTGTTTCCTGATGAATAGTTATTTTTGAGCAAATGGTTATTTAAGACCTACTATGTGCTAGCCACCGTTGTAGGTCCCTGCTGTACAGTAATGAGCAGTGCAGACTTGGCTCCTGACCTGGTGACCTGAGTCCTGCAAGAAGAGAGATAACCAATGTCTAATGCAATGTGAGCATTTTCTGTGACCGTGGAAGTGTCCAGTACAACAGAGCACATAGGAGGGGCATATAACCCAGTCTAGAGCAGTCTGGGAACACTTCCTGACACCAGATGAGCAGATAAGGGGAAGAAGGTGTGGAAGAATGCTCTAGGCAGAAGGAATGGAATGAATAGAAGCCCAGAGGTCAGAAATAGCACAGCAAATTTGGGGAACTGAAAGAAATCCTGTATGGTCTTGAGCATAGAGAATAAATAGGAAAAGGTGAATGATGAAATTGGACAAGTGAGTGGAGACTTTTAAAGTCATGTACATAGATTGAACTTTATCCTAAGTCATTGGGAACATATTTTTGGTCTAATGCCATGTGAGGTTTCCCACATAGCACCTAATATGTTTCTCTCTGCTGATGATGAAATAGTGTATTCAAATTCAACCCCCACCCCCTCACACTATATTCTTTAGGATTGATATTTCCAGCTGCTTTAGTATTGATTAAACATGTTCATAATTATGGAGAGTCAATAACATTATCAAGCTTTCAGGGCTTGTGTTCAGAACAAAACCCACCCACGGTCTGCTTGTTGGGTGAGGTCTAGTTGGCTCTCTTTCTTCCTTCCCACCTCAGTTACACCATCTCTGGAAAGGCTCTTTCTCTAGTCTCTGCCTTGGTTCTCCAGATGTTAAATGGTTGTTTACCTCACTTATTCTCAGGAGAACATAATGAAAATTAAGAAGAGCAAAGAACATTTTGAATATGATATAATTTAGTTACCTATTAAGCACTTTCTAACTGCAAAGATGGCAAACTGCTGATTCTTTTCCCCAAAGCTCCTCACCCTAGACGCAGTTCCTTTTCTAGAGATTGTTAAACAAGAAATAGCTGTGATATGTGTGGAAGCGTTAGAGTTCAGAGCTGCCCAGAACAAACATGATAACTCAGATGACACTTTGAGTCCTGTCTGAATCTCTAAACTATGATTTTATAGATGTATCTTGTTTACACAATACAAATATTTCTAAAAAATTGTCTGGAAGTTGATTTTGTAGATTAAATCATATTTTAGTTATACCTAACTAGTCTGCTTTTCAAAAAATTCCTGTAATAAATACTTTGACAAACGAAGCACTCTCTCATTTGCATTTTCACGATGGACTTTAGAATATAAAGACGGATTTAGTTATGTTGTTAAATCTAATAATCAGTGTGAAACTATTTCGCAAATGTAAAAAACTGTCAGTGCAACTGTTGAGACAATATAGTAGTTATTTATTGCTGCATAACAAATGACCCCAAAACCTAGCAAGTTAAAACAACAAACATTCTATTTCATAGTTTCCAAGGGTCGAGATTCTTAGCTGGGTGGTTCTGGTTCAGGATCTCTCACTGAGTTGCAATCAAGATGTCAGCTGGGGTTGTAGTCTTTGAAAGCTTAGCGGCGCTGTAGGATCCATTTCCAAGTTCACTTCCGCAGCCATTGACAAGAGGTTTCCTTTCCATGTGAGACTCTTTATGGGGCCCGCTCACAACATGGCTTCCCCCAGAGGGAGTATCAACATCAGTATCTCCATGAGAATGAGAGCAAGCAAGACAGAAGCCGAAGTGCTTTACAACCTAATCTTGGAAGTCATATTCCATCCCTTCTCTCTGTTCTGTTGGTCACAGAGACCAACCCTGATACAGTGGCACTACTCAAACGTGTGTGTACCAGGAGGCAGGGACCACTGGGGGCCATTCTGGAGGCTGGAGACCACAGAAAACAAAAGGATGAATCTTTCCAAAATCCTTGTCCTGTGGCTTTTTATACCTTCATATTAAGATTAATGAGACAGTTTCCCCCATGTAACTCCAGCTAGCCATAGAATCAGAGCCATCAACCTGGGAAAAAAGTAATTGTCAATCCACTAGTGTAAAAATATGTTAAATTGAAATATTTGACCAAGGCAGGCAGAAAAGTATCCAATACTAAGATGAGTTGTGAGACAGGCAAGCATCAGTTTTGCAAAGGAAATAGCTGAAAACTGGTTACACAAGTCTTGGGCTTCTCACCCAAGGGCTGTTCCCACAGATGAGGTGTATAGAAAGGTCAAGAGAGAGGCGTGCTGGAAAGAATAGGTGAGGAGGGTTTGTTGGAGAGAGTAATTTATTGCTATGAGTCCCAGCTAAGGGAGACAAGTGAGAGGCACTTTAATGGGATTGTTTTGAGAGGTTGAAATATGTTCTCTGTGGCTGGAGGGCAAAATGGGTAGATGTCTGCCTGCCCAGGAAATCTGGAAGTCAAGGAGATGTGCGGGCGAGCTGTTGGGCACTTTGTGACGAGGAGTGCAAGCTTGGGATTGCCCTGAACCTCCAGAACAGAGGAGGTTCTGGGGAAGAAGTAATTATCCTGGGTCCATTTAACATCCAGGTAGAGGTCTACCTGAAGGAGGAGGAGACCAGCAGAGATTCTGCATGGCCTGAACCAAGAAAAAAACAAGAGCTGAGCAAGGAGGAGTCAGCGGGTGAAGCATCATTGCCCAAAGTGCAGGAATTGCGGGCAGAAGCACAAAGCAAGGGAATCTCTAAATAACCCATCAAGTATCTACAGGTCCAGAGAGGGTGAGCCATCTTAGACCAGCACCAGAGGGGCAAGGACTTTCCAGCACCCCTTTCCTCCTGGTCTTCTTCCTCCTGGATCTCGATTGGCAAGCTGGGGCAAGGGGTCTGGGCAGGAAAAAAGAGGAGGAGAGCCTTTTCTTGATGCCACACCCCAGCAGCCAGGCGGCTCACAGTGGGTCCCAGCTGGGGGTGGGGGAGGGGTGGGGGGCCAGGTGTAACCGTAACTCCAATTTGAAGTTTATTACCTGGGACTAGACATGTTAAATTATTGAAATTATGCTGTGGGTCTTACAGTGATCGAAAGACTTTCATTTCCCTAAGAGTGACCAAAATAAATCAGAAAAGTAGTCAAGGACCCCCACCTCGCCAAGGGCAGGGTTATAATGGGGCACTAGGAGACAAAATTACATTATTTCTGTAAGTATAGCCCATGATTTTTCCTTGTTCAATTTATAAGTTTCATTAGCAATTGCCTCTGTGTTTGAAATTAGAGTCATTTTCAATATTAGCATTCTGTGACTCTTCTTTAGGTGAGTTACAGGTAGCACAGACTACATGGTCACAGGTGAGAGCTGGACGGAAAATTAAGTGAACCAGACAGTAAGAGAAGCAAAATGTCCATCTTGTCACATGCCGTGTGGGATTGAGGCTGTGATGGCAGGTTTTTCTCAAGGGCTTGTGATAGGTACTTATTCATCTTCTTAGGCCAAAAGCTTGATAAGCCCTTCAACTACTGGCCCTTCGTTCATTTGTTCATACAATAATCTTTTTTCAGAGCTCCTACCACATTCCTGGAATCCTTCCTTCCACTCCTCAGATAACCGGTCTCACCATCTTTTGTATCTAGTTTTTTTCTCTCCCTCGAAGACTCTCTCAAGTTCATCAGCTTTACTGGGCCGGGTGGCAGCGTTCCTGTAAAATGTATTTGGATAGGGTTTAGAGAAAGCGGGTATTATATGCAAATGTGATCGGACACAGAGACTTCGGAGGTCTCTGATGCTTTCCTGTCATATGTATAATTATACACACACACATATATTTTATATATGTAGAGCTACATATGTACAGACATCACATATTTATATTTACATATGTGTATATGTAATCCTAGTAGCACAGTTAAAAAAAGACTTGCAATCTGGAAAGTTTAAATAAAAATAATATTTTATGTATTCATAATACCTTATACAACCTTACCTATTTTTTTCTCCTAAGGACATCGTCCTGTCTTTTTACAGCCCAGCCCTCTCACAAGCCAAAATCCGTCATCCATCCTGGTGAGTACTGAGGAGGCTGCATCACTTGACACGTAGATAAACTAGTGTCTTCGTTGTATAGAGCATTTTAAAAAACACCTTTGGATCTTATATCTTTTTTTAGGAAGATTTTCTGCATAATTAAAAAGCTGCCTTTTTTAATATATATGATGTTTATGTAATATAATACTTTTATTTCTAGAACATGTATATATTTAATAATATTTGAAATTAATTTGGATATATGATAGCTAAGAATGCATTGAATCATCCTTTCAGACAAATGGATAGCCAAATTTTCTGAGTATGAATAGTCCGTATTGCCCCACTTACATGAAGGGAAATTTTAACATATACTTAATTTCCATGGCTCTGTTTCTCCATTCTGTATTTGGTGCTATATCCATGCTGGTATAAAACTGTTTTATTTACTGTAGCATCAAAGTCCATTTTTATGTCTGGTAGCCACTCATTGTTCCCTGAACACCCTGATTGCCCGAGCCTCTCCCCTCAACCAGAATGCGTTCTCCTCCTCTCCAAATCGCCCATCCTTGACTTGCAGCCCAAACCGGGGACACCTGGCTTAGTGGCAAGTTTTGGTGGAAAAGACAAAAGGGTTTTTTGTTGGATCACAGGTTTGCTACTTACCCGCAATGCAGTGTGGTGGCTGAAGTCTCAGGCAACGTTAAGCTGTTTTGCTAGATGAATCACGTTCAGAGGATGATAAATTACAGTTGCGAGATCTTTGACCCCAATACATCTGGAGTGCCAGGCTCCGGGCTGGGCACCGCCTTTGGCAGGAGCCTTCCCTGGGTAGGAAATGGGGCCAGAGGGTTGCTGGATCCTGAGTCATGGGGGGAAGCGGGGAGGATGGTTGGTCTGGAGAGGAGAGGATGTTGGGCTGCTGCTGGTTGTCATCAGGTCTGAAGAGGGGTTGGAAGGGACTCTTTTGTCTGAAGAAAAAAAGAAGACTATATCTCAGTTCTGTGTTGAAAAGAATTTTCTAGAAAAAAGAATATCCTCATGCAAAATGGGCTGATTAGTGAGAAAAGGATTACTGTCTGGCTAGGAAGATGAACCTGGTGCTTCTGTGGGTCTTTTCTATCTCCCTAACTTCCCTTTCCCTCCCTTAAAACTTTTCAGCGCTTACACCCTCATCCCAGCAAACACGGAACTTCCAGCCTGTGCCATACGTCTGTCTTGCAGCATTTCTTGAGCTGATTTCTTGCAGCATTTCTCGAAAATTGCGATTTAAATTTTTACTCTTCTTTTGGGTGCAGTGACTCTTCCTGAAAAGTCTTTTTTTCTTTCACAGCCTCTAGCCCAGTCTCTTGCCTTTAAAAGTAGTTTAATACATATTTATTTATTGTTCAACAGTGTGCTGATTGATGGGCTAATTATCCTGACTCGGATCACCAAGAAATTAATAATGCATTTTGTCGGGATTGATCCTGTTTCAGAAATAGCCGTTTTATGTAACTCCCTCTGCAAATTTCAACCTTCATTCATTCCCGCCTCTTCATCCCCCTTTCCATTTTTTTTAAAAGGAAGAATCATCTTTTGCTAAAATGAAACTCTTTTTTTGGTGCGTGTGGTCAGAATTACAGACAGGAAGGGAACAGATGGCTGAGTTTTGAGGAGACAATTCCTGGCTGCAGAGGCTTAACAAAGCTAATAAAAGGTAATTTACCAAAGACTTAGAGAGTCACGAGGCATCTGAGATTTTTTAAAGCCCCAATCCCCCGCCCTTGCCAACACCTGCCCACTGCTCTCCCCCAACCCTTCCATCCTCCCCGAGAACGTGAGGTTGCCAAGTTATCACTGATGTAGCCACTCACAGGCTCCCCTCTCCCAGGCACTTTTGCTGGGCTGTCTGGGTAATGGGCTGGGGCACCGTTGTCTTTCAGCAAATGGTCTTGGCATCATTCAGCGGCCCAGGCTGTGGCCCCGTGAACCTGGCTGGGATCCCGGAACCCCCAGAGTGAGAGCTGCACAGACAGTGTAAGGCAGCGCTGGCGCCTTTATTCTGCTGCAGGGAGATGCCTTGTTTGGGTTCTATTTCATTTCTTCCCCTCCCGAAAGGCCCAGCTTGATGCTTCCTGCATCTGCTCTGTTCCATTTAGCTTTTGTGTCCAAAACCTCTTTTTATTCTGCTCCTGATTTTCTTTGAATAGAAAGCTTACAAAATGGCCCCATCTGCTTCTCTCAGATTTTGTCCACAAAGGCAACCTGGGCCTCCATCAGCCACGATATGTCCCTTTGCTTCTCCCCTTGGGCTGTGGTTTTCCCTGCCGTCTGCTAACCTTGCACAGGGCAGTCACTGGCACCACCCAGAGAAAATGCTGTTTGTGCCTTTGTTTTCTTAAATTCAGGAGACAAATACTGTAAAATGTGTATGAGTCATCACAGAACATCCAGGATGCTGGTGGGACTGCTCAGGGCCCAGGTTGGCTGAGGTGATGCAGAGAGAGAAAGGGAGAAAGTCCTTAGCTGCTTGACGCACTCACTTCATGTGACCTCTTTGGTTTTTCAGTGATGAAAGGCAATGCTGTCTCCTGAGATGTGGCCAGGAGACCTATGGACTGGGGTGGAATTTTGTTTATGCAAACCCAGCCTTTGAGCTTTCAAATCAGAGCAGCAAACACATAAGGAACCCTTATTGCTTTACGTGCCTGGTAATGTGCTGAGTACTTGCAGAGGAGGAGAGAGGAGATTGTACTCAGTTACAAAAGAGGCAGACACATTTCAGCAACAGGTGATGATTGTTCCAAGGGGATGTGTACAGGGAACCGTACATGCAGGTGGGCACTCAGCTCCCCTTCTAAAAGAGATGCTGTCTGAGGTTGCACTAGAAATTGAGTTCCCATCAATCAGGCAAATCAGTGGAGAAGGGGGTTTCAGAAGCAGAGTCAGAAAATATGAAACAGCATTATCTAAGACTCAGAATCACGACCCAGCATGGAGAGTGCAAGTGCCTGTAAGTAGGGTAGTTTGGAATAGTTGGAAGGTAGAGCAGCTTGAAATTATGTCAGAAAATAAAGGCAGGGCCATATCACCAAAGGCCTCCTATAGTAAATGAAGGGGATGTAGGTACAGGGAACTGCCAAAGGCTTTCAGTGAGGAGTGACAGGATCAGGTTTGCAGTTTAGAGAAGTTACTCGAAGGAGGATGGACTTTGAGGAGGGGGTCCTGTACAGAGAGCACCCAGCAGGTAAACTGCTCAAGTCTCTTATCTTCCTGTGCCTGACTCCTATACTTCTCTCACCATAATCCAGTAGTTCTTCCAGAAATTCATTGGCTTTACTTTCAAAATATTTCCAGAATCTTCCTTTTCTCACCAAGTCCACTGCTACCGCCCTGTCCCAGCCACCCGCATCTCTCGCCTGCATTATTGCTGCAGCCTCCTACGTGGTCTCCGTTTCGATCCTGGTTTCCCTGAGTCTCTTCTCAAGGTGACAGCTCAATGATCCTTTGACAGCATATGTCAGATTTTATCATTCCTCTGCTCAAAACCTAGCAGTGACTCCTGATCCCACCCAGAAAAGCCTGACCTTCATCTGGTGAGCTCTGACCGCCTCCCCTTGCTTCCTCCACTCCAGCTGGGCTGATGTTCTTGCTGCTTCTTGAACATACCAGCCGCACTCCCATATTAGGGTCTTTTCCCTCTGCCTGGAATGCTTCCCCCAGGCAACTACTTACATAGCTTACCTCCTTCACATCTTTGCTCACATGTTATCTTCTCAAAGAGACTCCCCCTAATCACTCTACTTAAAATGGCACTGCAGCCTTCCTGCCAAAAATTCTTCCCAACACTCCCTGCTCTAATTTTTTAATAGTAATTATTATTTTAAAAATTTGCTATGTAATTATCCATTTATTATGTTCTTATTACCCATCTTCTCCCCACCACCACTGCTAGAATATGAACTCTTCAAGGCTGGGGGTCTCTGTATATTTTGTTTGCTAATTGTATCCCAAGTCCTAGACTAGTGCCTGGCCAACAAATACTTGTTGGATCAATAACCAGCAATAGTTCAAATGAGAGCTGATAAAGGACGTTGTGTGGGGTAAGAAGAGACAGACTTTAGAGACATTGATAAGGCTTCCTGATTGATTGAAAATGCTGGGCGAGAGAAATGGAATGATCTGGAATGAATGTCAGGCTTGGATGAATAACTGGGGCAGAGGCTGACCGTTTATGGTGCGGGGTGGGGGGGGGAAGAAGATAATAATGAGCCTCATTTAGGACATATGGAGGCGGAGGTGGCTGTATAATACTCAGATGCAGACCCAGAGGGCAGTTAGAACTCAAGCAAAAAAACTCACTGGAGAGGTCAGAACTGAGGTGTGGAATTTAGAGTCATTGGTACTTGCATATTGACTTGTAAATAAGCTAATGACACCCTAACTAGCTCGCAGGGCTAGGTATCAGGAGCCAGAAGACCTGTTCATTCTGTTATACACACACAGAGGAGAGAGAGGGTACAGGCACACTTGAGAACTGTTGCGAAGGAGATGGTTAAATTATTATTATATTATTATTATTTCAAATTTCCTTCTCCAAGGGAAGTTCTTCCTGTGAGGCACGATCTGTAATGTTCCAGGATGAAACAAAGTTAAAGGTAAAAGCATTCTTGGGGCAATTACATGTTGTTCAACTGAAAAGTGCTGAACACACACAAAAGTAAATTTAATTGAATGGTTTATCTCAGATAATTATCTAAACGTTGCTGCAGGAGCAAAGTATCATTTTTCCCTCTAGACAAAAAGCACCACTTTCCTCTGGGAATCGCATAGATTTTTTTTTTTTAAAAAAGCATTGTATTAAGGCAAGTAATATTATCTCTCTTTACACAGAGGATCAGGTCACAGAAAAGTTAAGGTAATTCCCAAGGATTGTACAGAAAGTCACAGGGCAACTCCTGGAACAAATCTTCAGAATCTTGGATCCCAGGCCAGGGTCCCCCAAATTGGGATCATCTTTCCGGTCATAAAAGCTTAGGCAGACTTATGAGATAATC